AGATCCTTGGTGGCTTTCGAAATTCCTTGTGTGAGGCAGTGATGCACTTTCACCACCTCTCAGTCCTCTATGAAACAGGTCGTAATCTTTGGTCGGATCCTCCTTGATGGGCCAGCCACAGGTGGTTAGGAGCTCCTCCTACCTGACGCCGTCATATACGATTTCCCTCCTTCCTCTAACACGGTGGCAAATCTTCTTTTCCAGCTTTCGGCTGAATTGCACATTAGCTCGAAGAAGGCGGTGATCTGAGCCACCACTGAACGATGGTACCACTGAGACGTCCAATAAGACCACCTTCGGTTGGTGAGAATGTGGTCGATCTCAGTTTGGTCGTACCGTTAGGTGACTCCCATGTGTACTGCCGGTGTTCTTTCTTTTTGAAAATAGAGTTGCCACAAAAGTCGTGCGCCGGATAAGAGCCCCTCCCAATCCTGTGCTTCCCTTTTTCTGGCATTCCGATATTCGCATTGTCAGGTCGCAAGTCACCGACGACGAACTTATAGAAGGAATTTTTCTTGCGGATGACTTCCTCAAATCCTCAAATAATGCATCAAGTTCCGAGTCATTAACTGTTGATGTTGGAGAAAGCAGTTGATGATAGTGATGGCTTTCTGATCTTGATAACATCCGACGCCGTAGATGTGGTACTGTGTAGAGCTTCATTTCTCTTACATGTTGTACAAGCAATGAGTAAAGGATATCTTCCCAAACATTAGCAGTACCTTCCAGAGCCCTGCCAGGCTTTCACTACATGCAATCGCTGACCTTAGGTGGATCAGGGAGCAACCTGGCGACTGAATCAGCCAGACGGTGGTGCTTCTGCCATGGCCTACTGTTAGCTGGGCATCCGGGGAACCGGAAACGTCGAACTCCTTCTCAGCTTGGGTGACTCTCCTAGAAACCTCCGCTGTACTTCGCAGTTCGACACCCAGAGTCACCCCCGCGCCACGATGAGGCGGTAGACCATCACGTGGGAAACAAGTCATTACCAAGAAAAATTTATATGGGTAATCCACTTGTAACTTTCTTTCAGCAGGCCACAGTAAGCCTTGTAGTCAGTAATAAATTGGATGCCGTAAGATCAATGCGTGAATGATCAGCTAATGCTTAAGCTCTCTACGCATTACGCATTGCTGGAAAAGCGAAAGTAACACTCTAACATGATATTCAGAGAAGGGTGAAGTTTTTTAGAGATGAAAACCAATTTTTGAGATTCTTCTTGCAAAATTTCTATTATAGAAGAACATGGGCTGCATAAGTGATGACCAACCGTTCTGAGCATGCAATTTCTAAAAAGGAATAACAGTAGATATTGGGACTTTGTAAGATTTCTATTGTTGAAAAAGGGATTTGTATTGGAATCTTGCTATTTACTTGAAGAAAAACCAACCCACCAACTTTTGATATCATCTCAAGACAAAAGATATGATGGGAAGATAATTGCTTCATCATATGAACTTCAATTAAGCTTCTTATTCGATGTTTTTTGAGTCGCTTTTTCAAACACATTTTTTTGGAGTTGCTTTAGGCTACACCTTAGTTTAATTTCTGTACCAATGTGATCACTTTAAGCAAAGATTCGAAAGTATAACATTGCCATGCCTGGACTATATGTAAGTCAGTATGGTCGATATTTTTCTAAAAATGTTGTCTTGGAAAATATGAGTAGAATAAAAAAGGGGTTATCCAAAAAAAATTTTCGTCATCTTTTTTCTCCAGTAATGTCATGATGTCTTGCATCTTATCGGATTTCCTTCATCTCGGCACATTTGAGAGAACACGTCATGAACTTTTGGCTTGAATCAATACAGAACCTTAGGGAAATCCTATAGTAACCCAAAAATGCATTCCTGCCAGTACATTCTAAGTAACATGAAAACCACAGATTATGCTAGAAAGGTCAATGGTTTGCTCGGCGCACTCCCATAATTTGCAGTAGCAGATCGTAAGTCAACTCCTACATGCAGGCTAAATCCTAGCTAGAGAATGCTCGCTTTTGAAGAATGTTATTGCGAATCGGGAATTAAAGTTTGCGAAAAACATATTTTTTTCAAAAAAATACTCTAAGGTTAAGTAAAGTCTTGTTTTAGTCAATTCCAACGCCCTTTTTGAATTCCACTGGATTAGTCAATGGATTAAACTTGTGCGATGAGGTAAATCGCATGTTGATTAGTGTTGCGGCTAGCTAAGATGAGATTAATGTCACCTAGAAGCCATTCGCTAAAGAGCGTAAGCTCTAAATGGTTTAAATGGTTGCCTTATTTTCAC